GAGCTTGTATCTTTATCTGCAAGCAGAGGCTGGGGAAAAAAGACACAGAAAGACAGACAGACAAACAGAGAGAGAGCATAACAGAAATGGTATAAGTCTTTTGTACCTCAAAGTCTGCCCCAATTGACTTACTTCTTCCAACAATACCAGACCTCCTAGTTCTCCCCAAAGGGCCAGTGACTGTTTTCAAATGCCCAGTTTGAGAGACATCTCATTCAAACCACAGTAGGCAGCAGTCAATTGTCATGAACACCAAAGAACTGCCTTATTTCTCTCTCACTTAATGTACAACACAGAAATTTGAGTAAAATTCCTCATCTCTCCCTCACTCAACCAGACAAAAACAAACTCCAGTAGCAAATGCCACTTAATCCTAAACTGGTATCTCTTTTATACAATTTACACTCTCTCTAGGTTTATGAATATAAATATTTGCTGTTGCAGCAAACACAGTAATATGTACATTTTTTGAGGAATTTGTCAAAATATGACAAGACTATACCTGTGAGCATAAATTTTATGTTCCCTTTATTCTTGTTTTTCTTAGGTATAAGAAATTCTTCTGTAGCAATTCAGAAAGGGTATAAGTTGGACTTAACTGAACATAATTGTAAACCTTTTGTTAAAATGAATGAGAAGTAGTTGGTATAATAAATATTTTAACTTTGACTATTGTCTTAGTCACTGCTCTATTGCTGTGAAGAAACACCAAGATTAAGACAACTCTTTTTAAATAAAGCATTTAATTGGAGGTTCCCCTGCAGTTTGAAAAGGTTAGTTTATTATCATCATTGTGTAAAGCATGGCAGCATACAGGCAGAGAGAGAGAGAGAGAGAGAGAGAGAGAGACAGACAGATAGAGACTTGGCCTGGTATGAGATTTTGAAACCACAGAGCTCACCCCTAGTGACAAACCTCCTCCAACAAAGCCATACTTCTTCTTTTTTTTATTATTATTAATTACACTTTATTCATTTTGTATCCCCCCATAAGCCCCTCCCTCCTCCCCTCCCGATCCCACCCTCCCTCCCCTTTCTGCATGCATGCCACTCCCCAAGTCCACTGATAGGGGAGGTTCTCCTCTCCTTTCTGATCTTAGTCTATCAGTTCTCATCAAAAGTGGCTGCATTGTCCTCTACTGTGGCCTGGTAAGGCTGCTCCCCCCTCAGGGGGAGGTGATCAATGAGCAGGCCAATCAGATTATGTCAGAGGCAGTCCCTCTTCCCATTACTATGTAACCCACTTGGACACTGAACTGCCATGGGCTACACCTGTGCATGGTATATACTCACTCATATAAACATACAACATAGAATAAACCCACTAAAATCTGTACATCTAAACAAACTAAGCAAAAGAGAGGACCCTAACTAAAATGTTCAATCCCCATCCTGAAAGGCAAAGAGGATGGACATCAGAAGAAAACGAAAATAGAAAACAACCTCGGAACCTGCTACAGAGGGCCTCTGAAAGCCAGAAGAAAACAGGAAACAACCTTGAAACCTGCCACAGAGGGCTTCTGAAAGCTTCTGCAGTATAGACTGTCAAAGCAGATGCTGAGCCTGATGGCCAACTGATGTGGAGAGTGAAAGCCATACTTCTTAATCCTTTCCAAACAGTTCATCAACTGGGGACTAAGCATGCAAAAACTGAGCCTATTGGGAAATTCTCATTCAAACTACCAAAAATATATTTCATAGATTATGGTTATTGTTCATAAATGTTTTCATCAGCAATGGGGAGTTTTAGTAATTTTACAGAGTTTTCTTTTGTGTTAATTTTTATTTTTAAAATTGAAATGCAATTACATCATTTTTTCCTGTTTTCTTTCCTACCTTCAATCTTTCTCAGGTACACCACCAACTTGATTTCTGTCAAAGTTATGGCCTTTTTTTCTCTAATTGTTGATACATCTTTATATATTCCTAAATGTATAAATGTATAAATGCAGCCTCTTCTGTCAATATATTACTTACAAGAATATGATTTTAGGGCTAACCCATCTGATAAATCTCACAGCACAACTAATGCACCCAAGACTTAGAGAACATCCCCAACAAGAGGTAGGAAAGACTGTAAGAACCAGAGATAAGAGAAATCTGTTTTGAGACTGTGTCTCCTGGAAATGTCAGGAAAAGCTACACCTTTAAGTCTCAACGTGACTGTCTAAATAAGTCCTGAACAATGACAACAATAAATGTGCTAACACAGAAAGGGGAAATCTTACAAGGTCCCAACACTAATATTTTTGACTAAAGTAAATCAGAATATATGATTTCAATTTCAAATATATTGTATGTTTTGCTGGAATTTTTAGAATAATTTTGCATAAATGCATTGCATATGATTTTCAGTATCAAACATTGATGGTTATTATGATTGTTTCTTTGACTGATAAGTATTAGAAAAGCCACCCCTGCACATTAGCTTATACTAGTTCCAGGAAACCTACAGATGGCAGGAATAGCTCAAAGGTGTGACAACTTTTGGTATATTGATGTAAATGTTCTGTGTGAAGCAGTCAGTGCCTGGTTGCTTCTATTTTGAAATTGAGCAAATATTCGTTACAAAGTTGACTTTGGATTATATTAGATCCTGGGAAGGGATTCAAGTGATTATTCATCTCCTTTCAAAGAATAAAGAACTATGGGTTAGAAAATTATAAAACAGAGGGGCAAATAGGCAAAACTTGTTAGAATATTTAAGATTTTTTTTCAACATAGAAGTATTTGTTACAGAATATAGAAATGGAAAAACAGACTTTTCAAGATCCAGCAGGCTTCATCTTAACCAGACAAAGACATTCTTTTAGATAAATATCCAAAACTCCAGCACACTCATGAGAAAGGCATTAGACAAACTGATTACTGTTCAAGTTGATGAAGAGAAAGAAAAGGCTGGGAAACCGCAGAAGACAGCTGTAATGTGAGAGCCAAATGCAGTGAAGTACCCACTTTAGACTCCAGAACCCGAGGCAGACAGTCGGTGAAAGCTCGTAAAACGCAAACAGGCCTGCACCCGATCACTAGTGAAACAACACAGTTCATAGTCACCCAAAGCAGACAACATGCCAGAGGTTGAGATTTCTCGTGCAGTAATAGGTTATAAACAGGAATTATGTACACTTCTTAGAAAACTGTCAAAAGTCTGCTGAACACTGGGACTGTGTCACTCAAATCAAAAGATTCTGTAAGGGAGACGTTTATATCTCTTCTACTGTATTCATTCTTTTCAAAACCTGCCCAGGATTCCTACAATATGGATAATATCATATATTCAAGAATTTTTAAAAACTTTGTGAGCTTCACATCATGCTCTCTAGTTGTGCTCATCTCCCCATCCCTTCGTATCTACCCTTCCCTCCCCTATCAGAATAAAACACAGTCACACACACACAGCATAGAAGACACCTTGTAGTGGAAGCTGGGTATGTCACCATGTGCACCACAGAATACCCCTCTGTCCACATCTCTTCCCTTGCAAATGTTCATCGTAATGAGTCATTAGTCTGATTCAAGGTCTCTGTCTTCTGTTACACCATCAATATCTGACCCCTCACCAGGCTTCCTCCAGTTTATCTTGTTGTTGCCTGTGTCATGGAGATCCTGCAGCTTTGGATCAGCACGACTGGCCCTTTCACATGTCCCAACAGTTCCAGATAATATAGATTTTGGGGTGGGCCATCTCAGAGCTCTGGATCTGGGCCTGTCAGCACACCAGCTCTCCCTTATCTCCAGAGGTGCTCTGGCTAAGCTACACAATGCTGCCATTGGCAAAAGACAGGGTCAGCTCTCCTACTCTCATGCCCTATGGATGGTACACTTGCACCCACTCCTCCAAGGCCAGTTTCACTGTGCTGCCTAGTCAATATGTGTGGCCCATCCTTTCAAGTGTTGCAGGCTTAGAGGGGATGGACCAGCTCTCTCACTACCACACCCTCAGGGCTGGCTTACCCATAGCCATCAGAGCCGCTCTAATGTACTGCTCAGGCAAGACTCAGGACCTGTTCTCCTGTGTACTACATCCAGTAAGAAAGCAGGGCTAGCACTCCTACTCTTATGTCCTGGGGCAAGCGCTCTGACTACCACAGATGGTGAGGTGGAAGGGCGTCACACCCACACCACCTCAGGCCAGCTGGTCACAGCAGTAGCACTCGCATACTCTTGCTCTTGGGGCTGGCTCACTTGTACACCTAGACCAGGCCCAAGACAATTGTGCTGCCTAGGCAAGTGCAGGGTATACCAAGTGTTGCAGCTGGTGAGGGACAGGGCCATCTCTCCAGACTGCTGCAGCTGGTGAGGGGCAAGAGGAGAGAGGGTATCACTCCTATATGCATACCACCTCACAGCAGATGAGTGGCAGGCTAACTCTCCCATGTTTTCACTGTTGGGGCACCCCTTTACCAGGGCCAGACCCACTGTGTTGCCCAGGCAAGGCACAGGGACCACTCTCCCAGAGTGCTGCCCCCAGTGAGACCAGCTCTCTGGAGCAATGCAGCTACTGAAGGACAGTAACTGCAATTTCCATGTGATCCTTAGCAACTGCCACAACCCTGGTGTCCCCACCTTCTTTAATGGTAATATGAGCCACAAACATCAACAGCGACCCCTGCTGCTGTGTAGCCATGGACCCAGACATGTCCCTCAGTTAGCAACAGCTCAATCTATGATATCACCATAGCCCCAGGTGTCAGGGCTGGCCACTCACAACAGGTTACTATTCCACTGTTTTCCATCCTCAAGTCTCCAGTTCTATCTCTCTTCATATTGCTCAAGCTATTCCACTTCTTTCCTCTTCTGTCTACCCACAACATACTTGCACATTGTGGTGGCTCCCACTGCAAGCTGGCCATACCTATGTGACATTGTCTGGCAGGCAACCCAGAGGCCATGCTCTCACACATACCCATGCAGTGCATAAGCAGTTCTGTGGGTGGCATCGCAGTCAGCGGGTCTATGTCTGTCTTCCTCCTACTGTGCTGCACTGCCTGGATTTGATTTTGATGTGTCCTGCACATAAAGCAACTTTGGCCACCAAGCCACACATCAAGCTAAGATGAACAAAACTGCCATCTTCTCTGCCCCTCACTGATATAAGAATAACATTACCAATAAGGTGTATCTTTAACTATTGCCAGGAGGATATTCAAGAATTTTAAGAAAACAGTAATACTTCATTTCTTTTCACCAGTCTAAGTAATGAATAATTAATCTGAGATATGGTATGAAATGAACAAGGTAAAGGAAGAAACTTAATAAATTAGGAGTTTCTGAGACTTCTGTCAGCTGTCATGGGTGTGGACGGGAGTCAAAGGGAGAGACCTGTCAGGTGACACAGAGGATGGAGTTGTGGAAGACCTCAGCTAAGAATTTGATTACCTTTGACATATGAAGGCAAAGAAAAACCATGATAATTATCCACTTGTATCACCATTTGTATATTTCTCTCAACAATGGTGTAAGCACATTCAGAAAATGAAAACATTTATACAGATTACTAACATTTTCAGCAAGCTAGAACTAATAAGCCTTCTGATATCAGTGTTCAAATCTATAAATGATAGTGCAGTTGGATCTAAAATTCAGGACTTGAGATCAATATGGAAATATTCAACATCAAAACTTAGCCAACCCCAAAGACAGAAGCATTTCTGACATCCATCCATTTCTGGAGGGAATCCTGCTGGTTTAACGATTGGTTAATTGGCAGTTTTCAAGATGTTACCATTCTGTATGTAATAGAGTTTTAGGTACTAAACCCATCCCAAAGAAGAAAGAACATTAACATCACAAAGGTGAAACCTTATTGATTTCCTAAGATGTTAAAATGATTTCCCCATAGCATTACAAATGAAAAGGGAAGCTCATCAGCACATGAGGATGAGGTGGAGTGCTGTGAAACATGAATTCTGAATATCTGTGACCATTGCATTCACGGACACATGGTAGCTATGGCTACCTGCACAAGCCTTGAAAGCAAGCACACACACAAAAGACATGACAGTAAGAAGGGCATTAATTGAGAATAAGACAGAGATCACTGGAAGTGGAGAAAGAACAAGAAAAAGAGAGAGAGAGAGAGAAATGGGAGCAGAGTTTGATCACAATACTTACATGAAAGTGTCAAAATCTTTATTATAAATCTTTTTAGGTTTTTATAGTAGCCTCCACATATTTCTCACTTGCTGAGATGTGGGTATGAGTATTTGCAGTGATCTTACTTTGATCCCTGTACCAGAGCTTCTGAGACCAATCCTTTGATGTCTCTTTGCATGATACAGTGCAGAGGCCTGAGTGATGGTCAATTGCTAGAATACTGTACTTTCTTTAATATGTATATGTATATATATGTTTATATATATATATATATATATATATATATATATATATAGTTAACTATTTTGAGGACAAGATTTGTAATAGATATGAGGAAATGAAGTTGAGACAAAGGAAGATAAGTAAGTAAAGGCATGGTCCCCCTCCCCAACCAGAGGAAAAAAAAATGATCTCATAAGACTTCAGAAATAAAAGAAAATTCTCAACAGATTAGCCTTTCCCAGTGCTCTGGGTAAGGCTGTCAGATCTATTAACCAGTTCTGAAAAGTTGAGAATACCGCCTGTGGGGAATGCCTTGAATATTTGGGAAGCAGAGCTCTAGTAAAGTAAAATATTTTAGGAGTATTCTAATGTGGCAAAGCATGCTGACCTGGGGGGAAAAAAGCAGTGTACCTTGGCCTAAATAGAAGGAAAAAAATGTAGCCTTAGATAGAAAATCAAATCCCAAGAAGGCTACTGCTGATCTATCTAGCTGCCAGTCACGCTACAATGACTACTGAGGCTAAAAATTCACTTCTCTGTGAGCACTTTCTCCTAGTAAAACTGTTACCACTGCCTTTTTCTTTTTCTTTCTTTCTTCCTTCCTTCCTTCCTTCCTCCCTCTCTTCCTCCCTCCCTCCCTTCCTCCTTTCACTCTTTCCTTCCTTCTTTCCTTTCTTCCTCCCTCCCTCCCTCCCTCTCTTCCTCCCTTCTCTCCCTCCTTCCTTCCTTTCTTCCTCCCTCCCTCCTTCCCTCCCTTCCTCCCTTCTTTCCTTCCTTCTTCCTTCCTTTCTTCCTTCTTTCCTTCCTTCCTTCCTTCCTTTTGGTAATGAATAGCAAATGTACATGGTCTACTTAGTTCTCACAATATGCTCTGAGATCCTTTCACCAAGATGACATCCAGCCCTAGGAAGTTTCCTAGAAACTAGGAAATCCACAAAAATCATCCACAGAGGTAGCTACAACCATAGTTTTCTTCATTGTTTTGCACATATTTTTTCTGTCTCTCATTCTCAAAATACAGTAACAACCAATGGCTAAGGCCATGTCTTTTTGACTCACTACTGTGTCATAAGAGCCTAGAGTAATGTTTGCCATGCAGTAAGAACCCAGTCACCACAGAGTAGACAATACCCCACTTCTTACAAGATCAGACGGCACATAGTGACAAAGAAAGCTCCAAACTTGGTTTTGTCTGACTCAAAAATTATTTGTAAGTAAACTTTTCTAGAATCATTACTAAAAGATATGAGATACCCTAAAGTTGTCAGTGATCCAATCAAAGAATTGATATCAAATAATCTTACTTAATACAGAGACAGATAAGATGTACCACTAAGGCATGACTTTTATATTTATGTATAGTCTTGAGATTGCAAAATCCAGGCTGCATATAATACTCTGCTTTTAGTTTTAATAGTATTTAGTTAAGTGATATATATATATATATATATATATATATATATATATATATATATATA